CAACCGGAACCTTCGACTAGTTACAGCTTGACCCCCAAGGCAGCAGGGCGTTGTGGGAAAATCGCAATTCATTGGGAGCCGGTGTCTAGTTCATAGGATCATACGCCCTTCGGACAGGGTCAAACCTCCGAGGTGCCCAATCGAGCCATTGACTACTGCCACAAACGGAAAAGCGTGAATGTGGTTCGTACGCCTGTTTTTGGTTGGTTTGGAACCAGGGTTTGTGGCCAACTCCTCTAGGTGAACTACCAGTAGTCCACCAACCCGGTTTTAGCCCCAGATGTCGGCTATTCGTCCTCTCAGTGTGCTTGAAAACACCTCGGCAACGAGAAGACAGTTAGCAGGACTTCCTCAGCAGAGTCTATTCGAGACGCTTGGTCGTATGGGAGCATTTCGCAAGGGAAGGGTGACCAGCCGCAACCTTAGACGTCCAACACAACCATACTGATGTATCAACTTGACAAATGCCAATTGAGCCTTCTGTGTGCGTTCCGCCACTTTATCCGGGATTGATCATATACAAAAGGTGAGATGTAGGTGCACAAATAGCTAAATTGGTCTACTTTCCCCAGTGCTCTCCCACTTAGGGTATAGTTGGATGCTGGACCAACCCATTCTCATAACACCTTTTTACACTTTGGACGTACTAAAGACAGTGAACAGATATATACACACTAAAACCAACAGTATTTAGAGAGGCTTCCAACTTGTCTAACTTTTCATTCGGCAGTACCATATAGCTATCGTTACCGAATGTGAATCAATATTCTGTCGAACTCCTTAATAACCTCACTTACACCTAATTTCCCCGGACCCTGTATTCTAAAGTTGTTTTCGATCGTTAACAATATCCACCCATCATTCCTCGAGACCATTTCTCTGACTTCAACCAACTGTCATTTGAGGGAGATACGCGCTGTCCCTTTTGACATTCAGAGGAATGGTTCTTCGAGAAATTCTCTGGTATCAGCTAAAGCGTCTGATGCCAAATCGCCCAACAAACGGAGAGTGAAGTGTGCAGGTGAGATGAGGTCTAAAGATCGTCTTATGATAACTGAAGGAGGATATTGTACATGTGTGTGTGTTGCGGAGACACAGTATGTTTGAATTGGAAGTTTCAAGGGTTCTAGCTCGGGCAGTTTGTTGGTCGATCTGGCAGAAGGTGTGAAAAGGATACCTTGGTTTGATAAAATTAATATCTACTAGTTGCTTTACTGATTGGTATACCCTGATGGATGAAAACCGAAGGCATCTCGTTTGTTTTCAGAGAGGAACGGAGAAGTGAACAGACAGACGAGCAACGGGAATTTCCAATTGGATACCCGAAACTTTAGGGTACAACGTGCTTCACAGTAGTTCACATTGATGAGGTAGTGGGACACAGATTCAACGCGGGGACTTGACCGAAGCACCTGTATCGGGTCTTTTACAGACCATCACGATGAGAGTGCACCTTGACGTGGTGTGATGGCTTGCGCGCCTCAGTGAACCTGCGAGCTACACAGGATGGCTTCTCACAGCCGTAGATCCAATCATGCCTGAAAGGTCAATGGGTAGAGGCCAAACGAAGACCAGTCTCACAAGGCCAGCTATTTGGGCACCTCCTGTCTTCCTTCCTCTATCCACACCTGCCCCTGGAGAGGCCACTCCAGCAAATAAACACGGTGAGGGGCAGATGGACGTAGGAGCGAGGTACCTGGGGCTTACTCTCAACGGTGGAAGAAGTCTTCGCACTTCATTGGACAGCTACCGCCCGCCCAAGCTGGGCAGCCCCAGCCAATAAGGTGCTGTCCCGTCCACGTTCCGCTTGTTTCATTGGGTGCATGAGGCTGAGGGCTGATCCCGAAAAGCGGACCGATAATCAACGCACCAGCGAACAACAAACTTAACCGAAATTCAAAGGCCTTGTGTGACAGGTCTCCAGANCTCCTACACGGGTGCTTCGTTCACGCTCCCGCGTTGGATTAACGCCCCACTGCCTTGTGGGTCAGACTTTTGAGTCAAAGGCTCCGGTTAGGGTTCCCAAACACAAACCCCTTCGTCGGAGTGGGTTACCGCGAAGTATGCCGTGCCCCAAAGCCTTAGGCACCCATTTGGAAAACGATCCTTCCCTTCTAACTAGTTCTTCTCCCTAACCTGGATTAATCCCAGATGCCTCCTGTTTACGCCACTCATCGAATATCACCCAGTGTTTAACCATCAAGGCCAGAGATTCAGAAGCTATAGGACTTTTAAAGCCAATATCCCCTTTTCATTTGGCCGCGTTCAATGTCCGCACGCTCTATCAGATTGGCCAACAAGC